TTTCCTCCATTTCTTTCATTCTGTGCGGCCTGGCGGGTCTGAATCCCCGGGTAATCTTTCAATTTCCCAACGGGCTGACCACCGTCTATTTGAGGCCAAATCCTACCCCCGATTCCTTCAAAGGTTGGAGGCAGAAGTGGGTCTGGGTCACTCCGGCAAATGACAAGTTGCAGTTTGACAATAAATGGGGGGGAGATGATCTGAAAGTGGGTGATGCCTTTTCTGACGGAGGGGAATGCTGAGGCCGCCAAGATGATTGCTGATGGGGCATCATTCTTGATGGGGCACTATGTGGGTGAGGATGGGATAGTAACGCTTACTTATCAGCCAGGTCGGCTTATGTCTGGTTTGGTATTTGACTTTGTTTCTTGCACTTTTTCGCCTCTTCTAATGATGTTTTATTCTGTGTGTAGGGGGTAGCAAGATGGCGTCTCGAGTGGAGAGAGTGTCGGCGAAGGTGGGTTCGACCCCAGGATCCTTGGCCCGGCGAGTGCAAACCAGGGGTGCATAGGGTGGCTCTCTATCGAAAGGATTGGGGGGGACCACAATGGGGGCGTGGTTGTGACTCCTGAACAGCCGGCTGCAGACCTCCGGGCTCCTCAGACAAGGGGGGCCGGGAAGAATCCGGCAAACCAACCTGCCCCCATGGACAAGAAGAAAGTGAAGGTTGCTGACGACGATGCTGCTGTTGTGGAGATTGAGTCTGATTCTGACACTCAATCCTCTGGGGGCGGCAAGAAGGAGGGTCCTCCGGCGCCCCGCCACCATATCCGACTTTCTATGCGCTCCAAATCTGCCTCCATTCTGAATGGTAGCGTGAACCCGGTGGCCTTAGCTCTGGCCGTCACTCCTCCTGCAGACAAGGCTAAACTTGGGAGTATGTCTTCTGCTGAGACCCTAAAGCGAGCAGCTCGGGCCGCGGTTGAGGTATCTTCTTCGTACTCAATCATCTGCGCATCTTTTGCATCTATTTTTCTTGCGTCTTATATCCTGCCTTCGGACCTCTAGGTCTTCATTTTGGTGGCCTCCAGCTCGATTCACCTCGCTGTCGAACTTGCTGGAGCTCAGGGTTCCTCTAGCGAGCTTGAGAAGGCCTTGGCCGATCTACGAGCTTAGCTAGAAGCAGTGGAGGTTGCCCGGGCAGCAGCGGAGAGAGAGGCCGAAGCTGCTAAGCGCCAGCTGGAGGAGGCCATGGTGGCCTATGCTGCGGTGGAGGGAGCCTGGCGGGCTAAGGAGGAAGAGTTGAGAAAGAAGATCCAGGAGACCGGAGGTGAGGCCATTCAGAATTACATTGGCGGGGACATTTTCAGAGCTGACGTTGAGCAGGTAATCTCTGAGCGCATGGCCGATATTGCCTTAGAGTGGCTGTCCACCCCTGAAGGGGAGGATAATCTCGCGAAGGAGGGGGCTTTGTGCTTCCAAGTGGGCAGGTATGTCATGCAAAACTCTATCTATGAGGCTTTACTGGTAAGAGACCCTTCCTTTTCCGCCGAGACCTGGGGATTGCCAGAGGTGTTGGCTAACCCGGAGATCCCCCTTGTCAGTCCTGCTCCTGATGCCTCAGTTCCTCCTGCCCCAGAACTTTAATTCCTTTATTAAAACATTTTAACAAACATCTTCCAGGCTTACGTGCCTGTTGCGTTTTCCACCCTCGGGGTGGCTTGTAACCAAACACTTCTACATTCCTGCTTACTTTCTGCGTATATATATATATATATATATATATATATATATATATATATAACTGCTTCTTATCTGCTTGGTGTCATTTTGCATTATCTGCCTGATACCCTTAGGAATATTGAGGTTGTCCAGCCTTGATTCAAGGTGGCTTCTTCCTTGGGATCTCTGAATCTCCTCAGAAGCTTACCTCTGGTCTTGAGCCTGCATAATCTTGGAGCCTGGGGATGACCTCCAGGTCTCCCCATATTTGCTAAATCTACCAGTCTGTTTTCCATCACTTTTGTCCTTATCAGTTTAAGCCTTGAATTTCCGGTCAAGGTCGTTTTCCTTAGGCTCTTAACGTTTGAGCCAGATTAGAAAACTTTACCAATTCTGAACCCTTAGGTTCTCATTGTCTGAACCAAATAGGGTGGGTCTTCACTTTTAGGTAACTTAGACCTAGTGATAAACCTCTTAATTGGCTAGGCCTGGGGACCTCTCCGGTGCAAAGTTAATTCCTTAGTTCATCTTTAGCCTTGTAAAATCAATTTTAGCCTTGAGAAAGGCTGTTTTTTCATGTTTGAGGAAACTTGATTTTGTTTATAAGGCTGTTTGTTTAACCTTGGAACAGGTTGTTTATTCCTGCTCTCATCTTTAGTAAGATTAAGTTGAGCTTCAGGAGTCTGGAATTTGTACTTTGGCTTCTTGCGAGTACCAATTAGGCATAACCTTAATTTTTTGGGGGGGCTGGTTAAGAAACCTTCGCAAATAATTTATAAGACATTTGATGGTCCCAGATAGAGGTAAAAGTCTAGAGGGGGGTGAATAGACTTTTAAAGCTTTTTCAACTTTAAAGAGTTTCCCTCCCAAATATGATGATCATTAACCTTTTGAGAGAATAAGGATCCACAACGGAAGTCTTGACCTCTATAACAACCTTCTGTTAGTAAGGGGACAAGGAGAAGTCTGAGAGACAAAGGTGCTTTAGTGACAGAGATGTTTTGGACAGAAGGTCTCAATTAGAATATCTTGGTATGGTGTTCTGGAGTCTTTGTGACAGAACCCTTCCCGAGGTCTTCTGTTGACCTTGGAACAGAATCCCTCACAAGGTCTTCTATTGGACTTCTCAGATGGAGAACAAGCATCGTTCTCCATCTTGGTTACTACCCACACGGTTGTGACTGTGCGATCCAACCATCATTCTTCGTAAATCGTTCTCTCAACGAGAGTACCAATTGATGGAGTTTAATCCAACTACGAGAGCTATATCTACGAATGAGATGAAATGTGGGCAGCGTAAGGCAATGTTTATTATTCTGGAGAGCCGATCCCTTGATAGGAAATATACATGAAGTATTTATAGACTCCAGGAGTTAGTATTCTAGGAGGAAACTGATACAATAAATGCTATTAAGTATATTCTAGTCGAATAAGTCTCCTGTAACATCTTGGACGTTGTGAAATGATTGCCTCCTTAAAGTCCACGTTCTTCCGTTGAGTCCTGCCTGCTGCCAGATAGCTATGCTCAAATGATAGCCTGCCACGTAAGCCCTAGGAATATCCCGGTCTCACTAGAACCCCGCCCAGGCTCGAGGTCTGCTGTCCAGCCCGGCCTGGTGGTGGGTTCCTATCGTGGGCCTGATTCCTAATTAGGCCCAGTGGCTTATTATCTTAATCCTGTCTAGGGCTTGATCCCGTTTATGGGATAATCCTGTTTATTAGGCTAATCCCGTTGAGGGCTGATCCCGTTATGGGTTGATCCAGTTATGGCTGGATTCCGTAATTGAGCCATGGTCCGAGTCCATGGTACCATCAAGGCATATATTTGCAATTAGAAAGATTTTTTTTATGTTAAATGCCCGTTTGGTAACACGAATCTGCCGAACTTGATTAAATGTTGATCGAATTGGCTGAATGAGTTAAATAATGGAAAAAATGTATTTAAAATATATTTTATAAATAATTTAAAGAAAAAAATAATATGAAAATAGCTAAAATGGTTTTTAACTTCAACTAAATGTTTCTCTACAGTAACTTCAGTTAATTCAGTCAAAAAATAATTTGAATCTTATTTATTGATTATTACGAGCTTGGCGTGAGAATTCAAAACTTATGTGTTTTGGTAAAAAGGTTAGTTGATAAACTGGAAAAAATGTGACCAAATAATACTCGATTTGTCCCACTAACAATGGGACATGAAAGGGTGACACACAACAAATAAAGGTGGGTTTATGTCGTTGATATTGAATTGATAAAGTAGGAATACAGTTAGGCATGGCCCAGGACTGGTCCGACCGGTCCGGGAATAAAGGTGTACAGTGTGCGCGCGCAGTGTGTGTGTGCAGTGTGTTTGTGTGTGTGTGTGTGTGTGTGTGCGCGCGTGTGTGTGCAGTGTGTGTGTGCAATGCGTGTGTGTGTCGGGACAAATTTAAAAAAAAAATGTGCCCGGCCCGATCCCGTTACAAACCCGAGCCCAGGCTACCCCTACGTGGTATAAGCTGTAATCTCAAATACACATCTTGTTTAATGTAAAGCTTATTAGACATATCAAAGCAATGAGTTCCACATGTGCAATGACCATTATATTACGGTTTAAAATAAAATGACATACCAAACATTGTAATCAAATCAACATGTAAAGCTCATTACATTACATAGTTGATTACGTCATACCAAACGTGGCCCTAGTCCAAAGAGAACAAACGGTAAAAGTTCTCGGGGAAGGGACTCATGAGGGTGTAAAAAAAGTGGACATGATGAATAGCAGATATGGGGGTGTTCGGATCTGATATTTAAATTGTTTCTGCTCCGTAAGGAAGCAGAAGTATAAATTGGAGTATTTGGGTGAAAGTGTAGAAGTACTTCTGATACTCTAATTTACTCCTAAAATGAGTTTTTTTAGAATCTCATTCTAAAAAGGGAAAATGGAAACTAATAATCCAACCTTTTAGCGGTCTTCTTTCAATAATCCAACCTTTTGATTATTCATGAATAATCCAACCTTTGCACTTCATCTTCATTCACTGGTCCCTGACCGGTTGATCACCTGCTATTTCAAGCTATTTTCTTATCTTTGCAAATCATTATACCATAAATCTCATCTTTCACAAAGATAATATTTTGGAAAGATAAGAAAATAACTTGGAATAGTAGATCATTAACCGACCAGGGACCAATGAATGAAGATGAAGTGCAAAGGTTGGATTATTCATGAATAATCAAAAGGTGGGATTATTGAAAGAAGATCGCTAAAAGGTTGGATTATTAGTTTCCATTTTCCCTTCTAAAAAAAGAAGCAGAATGAGAATGAATTCCAAAGACCCCATGTGAGAAACAAAAAACAAGAGAAGAGAATGGGGAAGTGTGAGACTGAGTGACGGATTTCTTCTTCGCTCAAGGGTGAACGCAACACTACCTTTTTCTCCCAACACATATGTGAAGAATGATTTTCTTCTTTTAACTCATGAGCTCCCAATTCCCAAAGAACATCACTCCAAAATATCAACCCTAGGGTTTCATTTCTCAATCTCCTTCACGTTAACAGCCATCTTCTTTTACGTACTCGCGTTTCTGTTTACGGAAACTACATAGCTTGGGGAGAAGACGACGAACGAAGCTGCGCTATTGAGCTTTGAAGATGACAGATGAGGGGTCAGAAAGGGACAACGCAGGGTTAGCGTCTCTCGATTCGATCGAGTCACGGTGGGTGTTTCAGGACGATGACGATTCCGATATAGATATCGACGGTACCGATGCGGCCGAGAGTGCGGATAGTTCGATCCCCTGCAATGACGTGGACTCTGAAGATGATGATAATGCCGAACAGCGGCTCATTAGGACTGGTCCTCGGATCGATTCTTTCGATGTTGAAGCTCTTGAGGTCCCTGGTGCTCAGAAGAATGACTTTGAGGTCTATTCCCAAGCTCTACGTTTTTCCCTTTTAAGACAAAATTTCACCTTAGTTTGGTTCGTGTGGTCTTCTTGTTGTAGACATTGATATCAGCTTCTGCTCTTTGTGATTGCAGGATGCTACTATAGGTAGGAAAATTGGATTGGCCTTCCAGACGCTTGGTGTTGTATTTGGCGACGTGGGAACAAGTCCGTTATACACCTTCAGTGTGATGTTTAGTAAAGCTCCTGTTAAAGGAAATGAAGATGTTCTTGGCGCATTGTCACTGGTGTTATATACCTTATTTCTGTTTCCTTTGCTAAAATATGTCCTTATAGTTCTCTGGGCCAATGACGATGGTGAAGGTATGCAGAATTCCTTACAATTACTCGCCCCATTCCAAAATAACTGACCTTTATTGCAGAATTCCTTACAATTACTCCTCCCTTCCAAAATAACATACCTTTAAGTAACAATTACGGTTTTTAAGGCTATAGTTTTCTTTTACCGGAAAGATGTGGGGTCTCAGCTGATAAATAGCGTTGTAGTTAATTGAAAAGCATCCCCTATATGTTATCACTTGGACCGATTTTCGTTTCAAACCACACCAAACTTAAAAGGCCAGACCAGCCTTAAATGGTCCTCACTTAATCAGACTTTGACAATACAAAAGGACAAAGAAAATTTCAGGCTAAGTTAAAACATCTTTATCTTTATAGGTATTACAGTGAAATAAATATGGGTGGTAAGTCGGTAGCTCAGTAGCTTAAGAAGTTTTACTTTCTGTGTTTGCCAAATGGAAACTTATTTGTGAACAAAGATCCTCTAGTCAATGGACAAATATTGTTTCCGAAGACAGAGAGCATTATGAAATACAAGCTCCAGCTGTATGGTTTACAAAATGAGATCGATTTATCTCGTAATTCGTAACTGCAGGTGGTACATTTGCTTTATACTCGTTGCTATGTAGGCATGCTAAGGTTAGTCTTCTCCCCAATCAACTGCCGTCAGACGCTCGCATATCGAGCTTCAGACTCAAGGTTCCCTCTCCCGAACTTGAGAGGTCTTTAAAAATAAAGGAAAGACTTGAATCTTCACTTACATTGAAAAAGCTTCTTCTGATGTTAGTTCTTGCTGGCACCTCCATGGTGATTGCTGATGCTGTAGTAACCCCTGCTATGTCAGGTTTTTCCCCTTCCCCTTAAATGACGTTATTCCATTTCTGTTAACTTTTTGATCATTTTTAAATTTGTTCCTGAAACTCATCCCGCTAGACTTCCTTATAATGCAGTGATGTCTGCCATGGGTGGCTTAAAGGTTGGAGTCTCTGCAATTGAGCAAGGTCATTTCTTGTGAGGATAACTTTATATCATCCATGTTTGTATTTCCGTTTTAATTCATCCTGAGCTCAAATGGAGAACAAGCTGTTTGCCAGTTAGTGCTTACCTTATCAGGAATTATGGATTAAACTGATTGTTGTTTCCAGTTATAGATCATCAATACAATATGCAATCACTCAGTTGTGACTGATTATAAAACTACCAAGTGTATACTCATCAATTGCTAATTATGAACCTTTTTATTCTTAATTCATCAATGTGGTGAAAAAGAAATTAATGTTTCAATTGTAACTACATCTCACGTTCTCACTCTCTGCAGATCCTATTTTCGAGTATGACTTATATCATACTGGGTTAGCCAGTTAGGTTGGGATGGTCTGGTTTAGTTATTGGTCTGGATTGTGTGGTGAATTTGAAAACCCAAACCATAAAAAAGTAAATGTCTTGCATTATCACTGAAAAGTCCTAGATTGTGAGTGTTTTTTTTTTTTTTGCAAATTTGAGGGTCTGTTCGATTCTGTATGAACTCAACTGATTTTTTCTTTGTGGATATGAGCTAGTGAGGTTTATTTATTGACATACTATGTTGGAAGAGCTCCTATTGGGTTCCTCTTTCAATAAAAGAAGAGCGCTATGCCGCTATGGTATGGTAGTTATCATGGATAAACTTGAGATTCATCTAGGAATAGAGACGGTGTTGTCAACTCTTACAAGGAATGTGAGCTTGCATCACCACATGGACATCATGCAAATAAATTTTATGTATTACACTAATATTAATATTGTGTATATTTGTAATTTCATCATCTTAAGTTAAATGTATATGTTTCTTTTAATTTTTTCTTACATCTTTCTACTTTTGCAGATGAAGTGAAGATGATTTCAGTGGCATTCCTTGTTATTTTGTTCAGTTTGCAGAAGTATGGCACAAGTAAAACAGGGATTGTAGTCGGCCCAGCACTATTTATTTGGTTTTGCTCTCTTGGAGGAATTGGTTTTTATAACCTTATGAAGTATGATAATGGTGTATTGAAAGCATTTAATCCAATTCACATATACTACTACTTCAAGAGAAATTCTACCAAGGCCTGGCGTGCACTTGGCGGCTGTCTTCTGTGTGCAACAGGTAAATATTTATAGCCTTTGAATGTGAAATTTTTAAAATTTAAAAGAAATACAAATTCTTTTGTATGACTGGTGTATTAAGAGAAGTATATGTTACGGGCGTGGTTGGGAGATACAAAGAAGACGATAAATATGATAGTTGGAATAACAACTCAGCTTCCCGCCCTAGGCAAGGAAGTGTCCGTCGGTTCCACCAAGCGCACAAGAAGAATTATTCTCCAGAAGATTGATGATTTTATTCATTAATATGGCACCTCTATCAGTCTATCATAGTTTTCATGGCGCACAAGCCATTTCTCATGGCGATGGCGATGGCGTAAATATGGCGTCACCATGTGACAAAAAAACAACAACTTCAAAACGAACGATAGACACTATAATTCATCAACCCAACCACCAAAACATGATTAAAAAGTTGAATAACAACATTCTAACCAAAACATGTGAAGTTAAAATAGTTTAAAGTACTTCCAAAAAACATAATATTCAAAAAACATAAAAACTTCAGTGACTGCAAGTGGAAGTACAAACTGCAAGTATTTAAAGTATGAATTTAAAGTTTAAAGGACTTTAAACTGTTAATCATCTCAAGTTCTCAACTAAATTAAAGTATCAAATTGATACTTCTTAAGCAAGTCCAACAACTCCAGAAAGTGGCTTATAAATGCAGGTTTCATTTAATAAATCAAACTGATACTTCTTAATCAGAAAGGCTTTAAATTTCAGAAAATGGCTAAATGCGGGTTTATTTGATAAATGAATAAGTCCAACAACTCCAACTGTTTCATTTGCCAAATGCAGGCTTTCCTTTGCCAGTTATGGATAACAACAAAAGTAAACTTATTATATATATGTAAGTTATGGATTATGGCTTATAAACTTCGACAGATCAAGTGATCAACTTCAGAATGGGACTGATATTTGAAAATAAACTTATATATGCAAGTTATGGATTATGGCTTATATATGCAAGTTATTTTCATATAAACTTGATCTGTCAGAAAAGGTATGCTGTTGGGCTTGCAAGTATCAAGTATGGGACTGAAGTTGATCACTTGATCTGTTAGAGCTGTTCTAAATTATGTGAACATTTATGTTAATTTAAAACTTCATTTAAAATTAACATAAATTCTTTGAAGTCTGAACATAAAGTAAAAACTTCATTTTAACATAAACTATAAAGTAAAAACATCATTTTAAATTATCTGAACATACTGTTATTATAATTTATAAAGTAGTTAGCTGAAGTATAACTTTTGTAGTCAGAAGAAGTCAATGAGTTCTCATTTGTCGCGTCTGGTTGTGTCTTTTGGCGCTCATCTTTTTGTCGCAGACTCGCAGCTTTAACTTCTAGTGTCCGCAGTATGGCTGTGTGTTTATTTACTTTTTTAGGGTTGTTATTAGTATAATGGGCTAAAATATTAAGTTTTATTAGAGTTTTATTAAGGTTAGCATTCAGCAGGCCCAACAGGCCCAAAATCCCAGACCAAATACCCGCTGATGTGTTAAAAAAGTTTGCGCATCGCCATGGTGATGGTGAGATATTGGCGATGGCGAGACAATGGCGTCGCCATGTGTATACCCAGTGCCACGGCCCATTTTATGGCGCAGAGGCCATTTGAGCGCCTCATGGCGCATGCCGCAAGCGCCATTGCGCGCTATTGACAAGCTTGACCTCTATTTATACTAGTCCCAAGAGTCTTGGTGGTCTAGTATTAGAGTAACCCTAATTCTATTACAATACTTTTATTAGGAAATTAACTAAAATAGAATATCTGTACTAATAAGAAACTGCAACTAATAATAACCTTAGGAAACTAACACTTAATACTTTAGGAAACTAACAATAACCATAGGAAACTAACACCCAATACTTTAAGAAACTAATAATAATAATGAATAATAATAATCATAATAATAATGATAGTAATAATGACCATCTTCTTTCCATATCAGAATATTGACAATTTGACATAATGTTTCATGATGTGCATGTAGATTTTACAATAGCAATTTGTAGTGATGTAATCATGTGAGTATATGACTCAGACTTATCTCAGTCTCACAATCCTTTCCATGAAACCTTAAAAAACTATCATGATGATGACTTTGAAATTCTTCTTATTATATTTTTCTTTTGGCGCATTGTTTTTCATTGATGATTTTATAGTGATAACTTATCGTAGACAATTAGTAGACTATGAATTTAATAGCACCATTCCCAAAGTAATTAAGATTAAGGTGGGCGTGATGGGGATTGGCGCTACCTACCTGGTTGGGGTACATGGTGATCATTATGGAATCGACAGTATAAATTGCATGCCACCGGAACCAAAATAGATGGGATTCACTGGTGGTGCAATTGGTAGTACCAGGCTACCAACATAGTTTGGATTTTACTCCATAAATTGCATGCTACCCAAACTTTTTTAAAGCGAAAAGCGTCCAAAAGCGATGACCTTGGGCTTTGCTTGAAAGCGAAAGCGCTAAGCGAAGCGTAGCTTTCTCACAAAAAGAGTTTGGGCATGAAATTTCTAAACAGATTGATATTTTGGTAAAAAAATTACTACAAAGACCAATTGAGACTTATAAGACGGTCCAGTTTACTTTTGAAAGGTCACACATAAAATTGTCTATTGTTTGGATACATTATGACCCTGTTTGTCATAATTTACCATAAGGCGGGGATAAGTAAAAAACATCCTCAAATCACTAATTTATATCTGTCTTTATCCTGCAAAGAAACTCCTCCAATCATTCAACATTTCAACCCTATCACTCTCGAGAAAAGTAGAAAAACAAAAAGAATAAAATTCTTATTTTAACCTCTTACAGTCTTACTGAGCTGATGGTTCAAATTGATAGACAAGAATGCATTACTAGGTTTGACTTAGACACCAGAGTTAGATTAGTGAAGAAGTACACAATTATCTGTTCCATGATTCCATCTATTCCATTCATACCGATGTCACTTTCAACTTCAAAGTCAAAATTTAAAATTAATTTATTACACTGGAATAAATCAAGTACTTAACTAAAAATATTTAATCAATAAACCGAAAGAATAAACTGGAATAAACTAAAACTAATTAATCAATAAACTGAAATGAATAAATTAGAATAAACTAAAATTTAATTTATCAGTGTAAGATTAAGACTTAAAAAAGAAAGAAACAGAGAGCTGCAGAATTTAGGGGCAAACTATAAAACAGAGTAAAGCGGAAAAATCTAGATAAAGAAGTGTGGAGAACAATCTGGATGAAATAAACTGTGGCTCACCGGCGAGAAGCTTGGATGAAATAGACTTCTGCAGCACACTCACCGGTTTCTTCAATCGCTGAATCAGGCGATGAGACCAGAAGACTTCCGCAGCACACTCACCGACTTCTTCAATCGCAGGAGGCGACTTCTTTAGCTCAGTGACTTCTTAAATCGCAGGGTGGAAAGAGTCCAACGACGAGCGACTAAACCTAAGAGCCTAGCGACGAGCGGCTAAAATTAAAACTTAAAAAAATTGGCCTGTCAAATCCCCGCTTTCTGTGAGAAGCTGTGCGAAGCGACGCTTTATGGAAAAGCGAGCGGAAGAAAAGCGAGAAGAAAAGCTACGCTTTCTCATAGACAAACGCTTCTCAAAAGCCAGACACAGGTTGATCGCTTGCTTGTGCTTTGTCGCTTTTTATATGCTTTTTTACGCTTTTAATAAGTTTGATGCTACCAATCCAAAGGGTGGGATTATTGTGGTGGTGTGAAGCTAATTGCATTTTGTTCCTCCCAAGTTTGTTCTATAGCTTACTTCTATATGATGTTTAAAGTACAAAGATTAAGAGCCCATTTGGTGAGCATGTTTTTCGACTTATGAGGCTTATCAGCCAACTTTTTCACTAAACACGTAATTTTTTATTTCGCGGGCTGAATTGTGTAATAATACGAAAAAGTAAGGTTGTGGTTACTTTTCTGGCTGAAGTAAAATATTTTGCATATATTTTTTCTTTATTTTATTAAATAAAATATATTTTGAATATAATTTTTACATAAACCAACAAAATCAGCCAATCCAGCCACTTCAAACAGAACTTCATAAGTTTCAGTAGAATAAGCAGATTTAACCAATTTTGGTATTACCAAACGGCTCTAAGATTCTATGTATAGTTTAACAAACTACTCAAACTTTTGTTCTGATAGAATCCTTCGGAAATCACAACAAAATCACAGAGAAAATAGAGAAAAGTATCAAGAACTTCAAGAAGTTTTATTATAGTTGAACAACTACAAAGGCCGAAGCCCCCAAAAGAAAGAGACAAAGCTCTAACTTCCCAGTCTAAGACAAAGTCTCAAAACAGCCTCCTTACTAGCTCCCCCTTTCCATCTATTTATACTATAATACTACATATACCCTTATTACTAATATTATTAATATTTCTATTAATAGGCTGATTCCTATCAATACTCCCCCCCTAAACATCCACCTTGCCCTCAAGGTGGGTGATAGGAAACAGCCAAGATCTTCTGCTTCTTCTTTCTTGCACCTCTTCCTTCCCAATACCGAACTGATTTCGGAACCATGAACTTCATTGCCTGAAGAACGCACTGATGGTTGGAATCTCTGTAATTGTTTTGTTCCTCATAAACAGATGGTGCTGTTTGACCTTTCCCTTTAATATCCTTCTCTAGATGTATAGGTTGCAAATTTATCACACTGCCAGTACTGATATTCATGAAAATACTGATATTCATCAAATCTATCTCTGGTTGAACACAGAGCAAGTTCTTCCCCAATTTCATATGAGGTTCCGCCTTCCAGTTTTTTAGTATTTTGATGTACACCCAAAGATGTCTGGCAGCTTACAAACCCCACAACCAATCTGGATCCTGATGCCATGTACTGCTGGATGTATATTGGGGTATTGACAAGCAAGGAAAGAGCTGCACCTTGATACCCAACACATTGATACTGAGGTATTGCCATAACCATTCTTCCCAGAAAGTAGGGTTCCACTTCTATATTTCCAACATCTTCACCTAGCTTGGTTTCCATTACAAGAACACAAGTGGAACAGTTCAATTCTGAATCATTGGGGCCTAAGATCATTTTGTAAGGTTGAAAATTTGCTTCAGCTTCCAATCCAGTAACAGTAGCCTGAGTAATAGGATCCAGGACCACGCTTATTTTATCCAACTGATATTCAAAAGTAAACTCATCAGTCCATTTCAGTCTATAATTAGAGGAGTCCCAATTTGCATAAAGTATCAAACTGTCCCTCTTAACTGCCATCCTAGGTTTAACAATGGGGTGAGTGCAGACTGAACCTTTAGATGCATTAATGTGTGGATCATTCTGCCACATTTGTTTTGCTAAGGCATCCCGGAATGACACAACATCTTCACTCCTAATTTCTTGGCCCTGACTGTCAGCATTCATGGCATACTTTTCCATCATTCTTCTATTAGTAAGTTGGTGAACCATGTTACCCCTTTTCCAATGCTCATCTCTTTTCCAGAGAATCTTGATCTCTGTACTAGCAATTTCCATATGAGACTGCATGTTACGACCTACATCTCCATCTACAACAATAATACCAACTGTTGACAGCCCCCTGACCTTTTCCACTTTTGTTACTGCATTGGTGAAGAGACCCGGAATGAGATTCTGAAAAATCTTGACAGGTTCGCCTTCGAGAACTCGATCAATTTCTCCAGCTTCAGGTCCATCGGTCACTGACGCATTCTTCTCGCTTTCATCTTCGCCCTCAATGAACTTCTCTGCCCTGGGCGATGAAGAATAGGCTCTCGACAAAGTCTGAATACTGGAAACATCTACTCCAGATGAAGCTTGCGAATTGGAAAAAAGTATACGAGAAGAATCCTGCCAAAGACTGAGAGAAGCCGTTTGCGAAAAAAATGGTGGACAATGAGAATCGACTGGTGAAGATGACGATTCTCCTCTCAATGATGTCTTCCTTGGTCGTGAATTATTAGCCGTTGATTCAATCTGTGATGGGAGATAAATTGTTCGCGACTGTGAACAGTGAGAAGATGTTCGCGATTGCGAACCAAGAGAAGTAGTTCGCGACTCCGACTGCAAATTTGTGAGCGACTGCGACGAACAATGTCTAGGGCTCCTCGCTCGAAGTGCGCTGTTGCCATGCTCTCCGTGATCGGAATTTCTTGTGTGTCCATGGTGCGAAGTACGGTGCGAAGAATTCGAATGATGCAATCAACTCTTCGAACGACTTTGAAGTCTGTTTTGTATGTCCGCGATGCTAGCTTGAATAGCGACCATCTTCGTCGCCATATCCTCTTGCCTTCTCGTCATCTCATCTTGTCTAGCTGCCGCCTCCTTCAGTTTTCTTTCTACAACCGACATACGCCCTTCCATTTTATCATGCGTATATCTCATCCAGCGATCAACGTGCTCTGATACCACTGATAGAATCCTTCGGAAATCACAACAAAATCACAGAGAAAATAGAGAAAAGTATCAAGAACTTCAAGAAGTTTTATTATAGTTGAACAACTACAAAGGCCGAAGCCCCCAAAAGAAAGAGACAAAGCTCTAACTTCCCAGTCTAAGACAAAGTCTCAAAAACAGCCTCCTTACTAGCTCCCCCTTTCCATCTATTTATACTATACTACATATACCCTTATTACTAATATTATTAATATTTTTATTAATAGGCTGATTCCTATCATGTTCACACCTGGGAATTTCGTGCTTTACTGCAGACTATGACGTTCTCTAAATCTTTAGTTCTTGGTATGAAATAGTCTTTTAAAGTTGGTGAAAATATGTGATTACAATTAATACTGAACCCCAAAAATAAGTAAACACAGCTACTTATTTTTGCATTTTCTGTGATTACTTTCTTGATTATAGTGCTGATTGTTCATGTTACGTTATTACAGGCTCTGAAGCAATGTTTGCAGATCTGTGCTACTTTTCTGTGCGATCTGTTCAGGTAAATTAGTAAACTGAGATGTGTTCTGAACAAGTTATATAGATGTTTTTCCTTGAATATTACTGATATAAAACTTATGGACAAAAATGTGACTAAAGTGACTATGAGTACATCATCATGTTCAGTACAGTACAGTATAAACATGCACATTATCATGGTCACTAAAATATAAAGTCACATTTATGTCCACTGCCTTCATTACTATTTGTCATTTATAAAAAGTCACCTTTATTTATTTTTTGTTAACATTTAACTTTGTCCACTGTGGCTACCCATACATATGTATGCATTTTTATGTCTGTGTATCTCAAATATATCTTTTCTTCTTTTCAGCTTACATTTTTGCTTCTCGTTTTGCCTTGCCTTTTGCTGGGTTACCTTGGTCAAGCTGCTTATCTGATGGATAATCATGCTGATACAACAGAAGCTTTTTTCTCTTCTTTACCAAGTAAGCTTTTGGCTCTCAGACACCTTTTGTATTTTTCCTATAAAGTATTTCTGTAGTCTTTATTGTAATTTTAAGTAATACTCCACGTATAAGTTTACATTATATTTACATTTAACTTGTGCAAACAAAGAAATGAAACATTTGTGTTTTGATAGAGATTTCTACAGTCTTCTTCTGCATTGTACCAGAGGTTAGGTATGTAATGGAAATAAATCAAGTACTGAAGAGTATCCTATTTTATAATACAGGTGGTGCTTTTTGGCCCGTCCTTTTAATTGCCAATATAGCAGCTTTGATTGCCAGCAGAGCAATGACCACAGCGACGTTTTCTTGCATTAAACAATCAATAGCGCTAGGATGCTTTCCCCGGCTCAAAATTATTCACACATCAAGAAAGTTCATGGGGCAGATTTATATCCCTGTCATGAATTGGTTTCTTCTGGCATTATCTCTGGTGTTGGTCTGCTCTATCTCAAACATTTATGAGATTGGAAATGCTTATGGTAAATCTTGAAGTCCTTATTCTTGTTTTATTTCTCATATTTATTTCTTTTCAATTTCTAATCTGCTTGACCATTCATTATATCATATGAAGTAATTTTAATGAATTCGCTTCTGCTGGCATTGCCTTTGAATCCTTCACTTGCTTTGGAGAACTTGCAAGAATCAATTCATTTATTAGTTAACGATGCCAATAGACATAGGAGGTCAGAAGTGTACTTTTGCACTGTATAATTGCATAATGATTAATGAGCTTCTTAATGTGATTGTTATGTCTATCCAACAAATTTTACTTTCTGCTCAATGAAAAGACTAGCAGATGCATTCAATCTTTCCTATCTAATTTCGTATTTTGGACTACTCCATATGTTCTCAAATAACTGTCCATTTAGCAAATCAATGAAGTAAATCATAGTAAAATGACCAAGTCTGGTTTGCTTGTGAATTTCAATACCTAGAAATCAATGGGGCACGGGAAAATTAGTTATATCCTCTTAATAGCCACAGTTTCTCCTTGACAAAGAACTATTTGAGAATGGAGAGAGTAGTATGCTTCAAGCTAATTTTGGCAAACCTTTTTTAGCCAACTTCTGTAAGTATTTATATGTGATAACAGGTATTGCAGAGCTTGGAGTGATGATGATGAGCACAACACTTGTAACCATTGTTATGCTCCTCATATGGCAGATAAACATAATTGTTGTGCTGAGCTTTGTTATTGTTTTCTTGGGGTTGGAGTTGACATTCTTTTCTTCAGTGATGTGGAGTGTAGGTGATGGAAGTTGGATCATATTAGTGTTTGCCATTGTCTTGTTTCTAATAATGTACATATGGAATTACGGAAGCAAGTTAAAGTATGAAACTGAAGTCAAGAATAAGATGTCTATGGATTTGTTGCGGGATTTGGGGCCAGATCTAGGGACAATCAGAGCACCGGGAATTGGATTGGTTTACAATGAACTGGCAAAGGGCATACCTGCAATTTTTGGGCATTTCCTTACCACACTTCCAGCTGTGCATTCTATGATAATTTTTGTGTGTATAAAATATGTCCCTGTCCCTGTCGTGCCTCAAAATGAAAGATTCTTGTTCCGGCGGGTCTGTCTTAAAAGCTACCACATATTCCGTTGTGTTGCCAGGTAGGTATGCTCGGCTCTTGCTTAATCGCCACTTAAGGTTATTTAAAAGCCATAATCATGTGATGTGGTTATAAATGTTTCTATATTGTTGGGGTGTCGCACAAATAGTTGAATCCTTTCTTTGGCGTACTCAGGTTTCACATTCTCTTGTATAATATGGGTAGGGTTTTGGTTTACTATGCAAATGGATAATGACTGCTCTGCCTCTCCGGGCTTCCTAAATTTTTGTTTTAGGCATTATGGATCCTTGAAAGGGTTTTTTACAATAATTTTACTAAAATAAAACTTATTTACATAAATATGACTATTCATTACTACAACGTAGTGTTGTGGTAACTTAAACTATGAATTACTATGATTTCATTACTACTCTAGTAACTAGTCATATTTTTGTAAATAATCTTTATTTTGGTCATATTTATGTAATTATTTCTCCTTGAAAATACTATGGAAAGAAAAAAGATTGCTAAACAAGGTTATTTTTTTACTGTTTGGTTTTGCCATGGGACTTGCAAAGGAAAAGGGAATTTGATTAAAAATGTTACATATAGTTGGATCACTTAGTCATATTATAGTCTCATTAGCAAATATCTAAAATAAATTTATTGAGTTTTAGTTTATGTTTTATCCCCCACATTTTCAATCCTTGACGTTATCCTTCCTTTTTTTTCCCCTTGTATTATTATATGGGATCCGAAAAAGTCACTTCACTTCCATTGCATTGGAGAAAAGGAAAAAAAATACTTGATGGGACCCACATGTTTTTGTTCTTTGTACTTATTCTACTTCTCTCCCAACTTATTTCTCTTCTAACAAGCACAACATTAATGTATTCAAATTGTCTACTTGACACCACACCATGATGTTTGCCATCCTTGTGGTGGAGGATGGTGACTTAAACCATTTTCTTCAGTTCTGGAATAAATAGCTGTACCCCCTCCCTCACACTATGCGGTTAAAACCCTGAAATATGCATTCTAACTACTCCTCATCACTTCCATAAAAACAGATATGGTTACAAGGATGCCCGCAAAGAGAACCACCAGACATTTGAACAGCTTCTGATAGAGAGCCTCGAAAAATTCATCCGAAGGGAAGCTCAGGAGCGCCAGCTGGAAAGTGACAGCGATGAGGATTCAAATTCCGAAGAGGAGGGAACACCATTCTTCTCATCAAGGGTGCTCGTGGCCCCTAATGGGAGTGTCTACACGCTAGGCGTGCCTCTCTTGTCCGATATAAGAAACGACATTGGGGGGAAAGCGGAAGTTGTGGAAGAGGTTGTGGCGCCATCCTCTTCAACGACTAACAACCTATCAGACTTTTCAGAGGCAGAGCAGAGCCTGGAGAAGGAGCTGTCTTTTATACACAAGGCTAAGGAGGGCGGGGTTGTGTATCTTCTTGGACATGGGAATATAAGGGCAAGAAAGGATTCTTGGTTCATTAAGAAGCTCATCATAAATTATTTCTATGCATTTTTGAGGAAGAACTGCAGAAGGGGTATTGCAAATCTGAGTGTCCCGCATTCTCATGTGATGCAGGTTGGCATGACTTACATGGTGTGAAGCAGTGAGTGTTCCTTCTGCCCCCCCACCGCTTCTATCTGGAGAGAATGTGGTGTTGGTCTCTATTGTGATGCAATTTCGAATTTCATACATTCTGCTTGCCTTTCTGATGTGAGATCCTGGAGCTGCTCGTCGTACTGCAAGAGGAGATTTTGACTTTCTCCTCATAACACGGGTTTCATTCATTATAAGCTCTGGTTATAGGTTACAGATGGCATTTCCTTTTTTGCCGCAGCCCGCAAGTCAAATTGTCAAAATATGCCGTAATATTTATCCAATGTGTTACAACATTGTAAATAAAGGGTTCGTTTGACCATGGTCCAGAAAATTTGCTTTGTATATATGTTTTGGCACAACTAGCTGAAAAGACACTTTTATAAATTTTTATTAATTAAAAGATCTTGAAAGAAAAGATTGTAGTTGTTTGATAAAAGCTTATTGTTTAATGTAGTTCTGTTTGGTATGACAAGCTATTATAATCAATTATTGTTAAAAGCTTACAGATTCTCAGAAACTATACATCGTAATTTTTAAAAATCTTTTATTTAAAAAAAACTTAAATATTGTCATGCCAAACATACAATTAGAAACTTATAAAGATATTTTAAATAATACAAAGACTAAAATGGTGAAACTTGATTTATCATGGAACTTTTCATTTTTTTCAACATGCCACGAGTAGGCCTGGACTCGGGCCGGGCGGCCTGACCCGGAACCGGCCCGGCCCGGCCACTGTAGCAACCGGCCCGGCCCGGTGGCCCGGTCCACCGGCGGTTCGGGTCGAACCGGCCCGGTGATTCCCGGTTCCGGGCCCGGGCCTTCCATATGGTGAACCGGCCCGGCCGGTTCGGGCCCGGTCCGGGCCGGAATTAATTTTTTTTTTTTTTTTGAAAATTTTTTATGTTTTGGGTTAGATTAGGTATTTTGGTCCATTTGAGATGGTTTGGGGTGGTTTGGGGTTGAGAAAGAGGGGTAGGGGATTAAATAAAGAAGCCAAAAAAAAAAAAAAAAAATTAATAGGGCGGGTGGCCCGGCCCGGAACCGGCCCGGTCTGGCCCGGAACCGGCCCGGAACCGGCCAACCCCGGTTCGGGCTCGGGCCTATATATACTGAACCGAGGCCCGGCCGGGCCCAGGCCCGAGGCCCGAACCGGCCCGGTTCAGTCCACCCCTAGCCACGAGTTTTTTGTTTATTTAATATTGTATTCTCAGTGACGCTGCCAAGCATTTATGGTAACGTTAACACTAGGGATTGATTGGGACGGGTGGGCTTGACGTGGGTTTGGTATTGTTTAGGCTTGGCTCGGTCCATTATTGTATAGGCCCGGTCCGGTGGCTATAAAGTGCTGGCTTCGGGCTCGATTTTTTTTATATGAATGCCCAGTCACGTCCCGAAGCCCGGCCTGACCTGATTCTGATGGTCCTGGATAGGGTAAAAGTCTAGAGGGGGGGGTGAATAGACTTTTAAATCTTTTTCACCTTTTTCAAGTTTTACCTCTAGATGAATTGATCTATAATCTTTTGAGAGATTAATAGATGCACAGCGGAAGTCTTTACCCTTTTTCTAATGAGTGTGTGACAACTTTCTACCTTCAATGATGTTTGGACTTCAAACTGTGAGCAGTTGGCTTGGCAGTTAGCTAGATGGCAAGGAACTGCTGAGGCAACTGCCAGTTGAAAATAGAAGTTTGAGAAAGATGATAATATGGCCTTGCATAGAATGATGAGGGCTTTCTGAATATATGTTGAGCTGAAGGTAGTAAAGAGTTTTGCCTGAGCAGTGGTCTGAGCAGTTGGGTAATCCCAGGAAACTGCTAAGCCGTCTGCTGCTTATAAAGAAGTATCTTTGAGGACTGACCAATCACACCTTTTAGTAGTGATATTTAAAGCTTGTGGGAAACAGAAGTCTCAAGGAAAAGTGAGTTATTAAGCAGTAGGATAAGCAGTAGAGCCAATTAAGACGACTGCTTAGGATGCTGCTGGCAAACTACGATCCCTTTAGTGAGAAGTATTGGGTGTGTGCTGTGGTGAGTAAAGGAGAATCAACACACGGTGTATCCTGGTTCAGAGGTGGTGTAATCCTCCTACATCCAGTCCCACCCTCTTTCAGATGGATTTCACTAAAGTATTCAGCCCAATACACTTAGTGCCAATCTAGCCTTTACAACACTTAGGCCTAGATTGAAGGTTTTTCACAATGAGTATAACACCACTCAAAGTTACTCAGTCCTTAGACTTTTCTCAATCGATCCAGTGGGGATCAAAAGGTACTCTATCTATCTACCCACACTTTAGGATCCGAACAACTGTTCTCCTAAGTGTTTACAACCACTTGTGTAATGTTTACAAGAAAGTTCTAACCTCCAACTATGAACTAAGCTCTAAAACTGTGAAAATGTTGATCTAATCTAAGAGCTTAGTGAAGCATGAGGCTAAGCAGAGAGTAAAGTTGAGTTTGCACTTTCTCTTTTGCTAGATAGCTCGTATATGCTTTGATGAAAGTATTTCTCTACTTAGGATGCTCAAGCTTATTTTTGAACTCATGCTTCTACCTATATTTATAGGCCTTCATGGTTGATTAATCTCATCCGTTGGTTGAGATGGATTAATCTTGTGCGTTGAGGGTCTGGCTAGGACGAATTGTACATTCGTCTTCTTGTGCAGGAGCTTTTAATCTTTTTGTTTTCTGTCTTGAATGATTGGGCTGCGGTATGGGTGTGTCTTCAGCCGCTGCAGTTTCACTCCAAGAAGTCCTCCCATGCTGTAGGACCATGTATTTAATTTATGTCTTCCAATCAATATTCAGTGTATTCGAGCATCTCAAATGTGACCTTATATTTAATCTTTAAGTAAAAATGATATATGTCGGTAGGATTTAAATATCCTATTAAGGTAAAAAGATACCTTATTGCATTTTTATGTATCCGGTAATATATCATTAATCTTAAAGATTGTACATTTATTTTGGTCACTTATGATTTAAATTGAAATGTTACTTCTGAAAATAAGACACAATGTAAATTTGTTTAGTATAGTGGCATCATCAAAATCTATCAAAATTGGAGACTAACAATTTCCCCCTTTTTGATGATGCCAAAACTATACAACACAAGAAACAAACTGTTTTTATTGATTCGTATTGAGAGTATTGTACATTGGTCTAGAGTCTAAAGTACAATAGTTTTTAGTCACTTTCGGACTTGAGAACTGATCTATTCTTGTTTCTTCTTAGCAGCTTCTTCCTTGGCTTTGGCTTCTTCCTTTCTTCTTCTTATCTCAGCTTCTTCTTTGTAGAGTTTGTTTTTCCTTCTTGTTGCAGCTGCTTTCTTTGCTGCTGCTGATCTGGAGGAGGAGGGACCTGCTTGAGTTGTCCTTTCCCCCTTTTTGGCATCATCAGCAGGGGTCTCACTTTCTTTGAAGAGTGCTTCTATTTCTGGGTCAGAGTCAGGATCTTCATCTTGTCTTCTGGATGGATTTAGACCATAAACTTCGATAGACAGTGCCTTGATGTGGTTGTTGATGTCAAAAAGATCTGTTTTGACTTCATCTTTGACTTCATTCTCCAATCTTTGAAGCTTGTCCTGTGTAGCTACTAGACTCTGACCTAGCTTCTGAAAGTCAGACCCTTGCTTCCAAAAGGTGTCCTGAGTAGCCTTTTGAAGAACTTGAAAGTTGTGAGCAACGTCTTTAGTGAGCTGTTCATAGGCTTTGGCATGAGCCTGCTGCTCTATAAGGAATTTTTGAGAGAGCTTGAACATGGCAGGGAACTCCTCATTCCTTAGTTTCAGGAGGTATTCTTCATGCTCCTTCACCATTTGGAAAGTCTGCTGAAGATGAGGAGGTAAGGTTGGGAGAGAAGGCAGCTGCTCAGAGGTACCTGCTGCAGTAGGCTGAGCTTGTTGCTGCTTTTGAAGTGCTAGCATTTGTCTTTCGAGGTCCTCATTCTTGGCTTTTAGTGCAGCAATCTCCTGCTTTATTTCATTGGTCAAGGCAGAGTGCTGAGAGTTTTTGGTTTGGAGTAGAGCTCTCTGCTCAGCATTGAACACTTGTTGGATCATTGAATCTCTTCTGATGTGGCTGTGGACTTCTCCAAATCTGATATCTAGCCTTTCTTCTAGTTGCTTCTTCATTTTGATGAGTCTCTTGTGCAGTCTGACCTCTGCGCGGCTGATGAACTGTGTGGTAGCCCTTCTTTCTTTGATGAAGACATCGGCCAGGGTAGCAGTGTCCTCTTCATTGTCCTCAGGTTCAAGAATGAATGTGTGAGAGTGCTGCTCTATGTTTTGAGTAGATTCTTGAGAGTGTGAACTAGACGTCTGCTCTTGATCAGCAGTGGGCTGATGAGCTACTTCCTCCATTGCTTTGGAGGTTTCTCCACCTCCTCTAGTCTCAAATTTAGATTTTTCCAAAGCCATTTGAAGTTCTCTATCACTAGAAGAGGAAGAGGAGATGATTTGCTTACCTCTGTTCTGTGGAGGTTTATTTGGACCAGAGTGATTGTCATCATCATCATCAGAATTACCATCATCATTCTTATCCTCGGAGTGCTCTTCTGGTGATTCATTAGTTAGCTGCCTCTTCTTTGTGAGATAGACCAGATTCATCTGGTGAAGATTTGTGGCTTTGGCTATGTCTTCAGTTCCAAGCCAGGTGAGAGCAAAGTACTCTTCACTAATGAACTTTGTTAGGGTCCTGGCTTGGTGAAGAATTTTGGAGAGTTTCCATTCCCTCCAAGCCTTGACTCTTGCCCATTCAGCCTCTAATTGTTGCAGAGGAGTAGGAGAGTGATCTGTTGGTGAAGGTGGAGAAGTCACCTGCTCTTCCTGTTGAGTCCTCTGCTCTTCTATCTGAGCAGGTTGGTCTTCTTGCTGTTGTATTGTTGGATGAAGAATGGAGAGCGGAATGGCAGAGCTGTTGCTAGCATTGGACGAGTTGGAAGAGGACTCTGCATCCTCTTGAATTATGGTGAGAGGAGAGCCTTCTGCTGCATGCTTAGATGATGCTGCTTCTTCCATTTCTCTGTGTAGATTCCTGGTTGCTGTCCTTGGCCTTTTTGACTGTGATTCTTGACACCCAGAACGTAGTCTTTTGGCGGTCTTGGTATCAACTTTGAAGGATACCAAGAGGAGGTCGTTTGAGAAGAAGGAATCATCATTCTTTGGAATTTCTGGAGCCCCTACCTTGGAAGTTTGGAATAGGAATTTCCTCCAAGTAGTTGCCTCTTTTCTTGTCCCCAGTACGCCCTTCTTTTTGAGTAGTTCTCCGATGAGGAATCCGTAGCCCAGTAGTGGTAATGTACCATCCTCCTTTCTTCCTGTGTGTGATTTTGTGACATATCTTCTGAGTTCTTGGTAAACGTACCTGGTCCAATTGTATGGGGATCCTGAAATGATAGCGGCCAGTGGCTTTGCTCTCAGTGCATTGATCTCATCAAGTGCTGTGGTTCTTGTGTCAATGCAT